ACTTCGTTTCTCCTTGAAATTGATAAATGAAGAAGTTTTATTCGTCAAAACAAAAAGATTTAAGCACCGCGTCAACGCGTCGTCTCGGCATAACCACGGCTGCACTGTACACATACATGCTGCATGCTGCAACGCGTGTCATGTGGTCACGAGTTTTTTCGAGAAAGTCGAGAGCGCCTGCTGGGGTAATAACAATCCGTAACACGCATGGAACCAAGGTCGCACATGAGTTTGCACTGGGGCCACTCGCAGTTGCACATCACTGGGTAAATGGTCCAATACAAAGGAAAAGGCTATGAAAGAAAAACAATGGCAGTTGCTTCATGGCCTGGTGTCATTGTGGTCAAGAGTAATTCTGCATTTGATAATTCAAAATCATATCTACTTTGAGGAGTTCATTTGGTAAAAAGTGCAAAGTACCAATCCCAAATCACGCCTTGCCTATTGAGTAAACGGGTCAAGGAGTTCACGACATGAAGCCATGTTTCCACACAACTTCAGTTGAGTGAGGGTTGATGGGAAAAAATGAGCAGGTCATTTTGAATTTTGAAATGTTGCTTTGCGATTTCCATCAGCATAATTGCAGTAAAACAAAACATAAGAACCCAAAAGCTTTGTGGAAAATAAATACAGTAATTGAATGCTATCATGCCGTAGTCTGAAGTTATGGAATTTAGAGCAGATTGCAAATAACGTGATTTTGTGGAATTTGTTCACTTCGGGTGGTTGTATGATGCAAATGTTGGGTTTTGGTTTCTTTTTAAAAGCCCCTGGAAGAAATTCAGGACTACTGCCGAGCAGTTGGCATCAGCTTTTTGATTGTGCTTAAAGATCGCAATGAAACAGTCAAGGTAATGTAAATATCATAAAGACTCGCCTATTTCATTTTAAGAAATTGGGGGGGGGCTTTTCTTAATTCATCTTTTAAGATGACCACATTCTTAACCCTTGCTGTTTTATAATTTGCTGACCTGGATTCACATTTGGATTTTTTTTCCGATGGCAAGGATATCGTGTTCTTTCTCTGTTGGCAGAGGAAGAGTTTTTGGATTTGATTAATGGAATTGTCTGAAATGTTCTCAAAATTTTGAGATTGTTTACAAAAAAATAACAATTCCTAGTTATAAGAGGTGACATTTTTTATTTGAAAAGAAATGAGTGTGTGTAGGGGGTAGATTGGCAAGCCACATCCCTGATTTGAGGACCATAATTGGCCTGGAAGTTTGTTCTTTTTTCTCTGTCTGATCAGATTCAAAAGTGTTTTTATGGTTAAGGTGGCAATTTAAACTATTTAATAGGCTTGCAGTAGCACCATGTAAAATACCTCTGTCTATCGTCGTCCATGGGTCTGCTCTCTCCGTGGGCAGTCTGTTTGCCTTCCATGACTTCAAAGGTTTCAAACCTGACATTTCCCAGCAGTAGTTTATTGCAGGAACACAAGTACTGCTCTTGCTGTTGGAAATATGTCCCGGAGGGACTGTGAGTGACGAGAAGGGGGTCCTATGTTTCCCAAGGCCCAAATTTGGCCAGTCCATATGCTGTATAACACACCTCAAATTAGAAGAATATCCAGTTGGTTGTAAGAAGTTGGAGTCTGCGAGGTGCAGATTGCCAGATGTTTGAAGCCCATTCTTGTGGATTTTTTAGAAGCTTTTGTTGATATTAGGAGATGTGCACAATGTATTAATTGTGTTTCTTCTTGGATTCTCTCCCTGCACAAGACTCTGACAACTTTGATGATTTTTCCTATCGGTCTTTTGGATCCTTTTTGCCATTTTTGCCTTTCATTGTTTTTTAAAAAGAGATCCGCATAAGCTACATCCCAGACAGTAGTCCATTTTCTTGCATTGCATCATGTTCTATCGGTATTTTGGTCTGTGCTGGCTGCTGAACCTATAATTTATGTGTATCAGGAAATGTTAGTTCTGGGAACCAGAGCAAATGTTATTCACCTGAGCTGTCAAGTACTCTGCAATGCATGATCTGTAATATTGATCACCAGCGTCTTGAAACCAAGACTATGTTAGCCCATGTATTTGCAACAGGTGAGGGCCTAGACCTAGCTCTGTGACTCAATCATGGATGTACATGTAGTCTTCGGGTCTTGGCTGGTTGGCTGCTGCCCTCTGTGTGTCCTATGTGTGCTTGTTGTGGCTCTGTGTAGATAAACGGTGGGAGACTTCAAGATGTTTGGTGGTGGCAAATATGTACTGGCTCCTTTTCTGAGTTCTGAGTTATGAGCATGTGCACGCTGGTTTGAGCTTGCATGCGTTGTTCTGAGCATGTGCTATACCGTAGAAAAAGGACTGGCTTGTCTGCTGCCACCCAAAGTCTCCAATATGTGGACTTTTTTTAAAAAGAGTTCTGTATATGGCCTCCACAATTTTTGAGTTACATAAAAACCAGCAAACTTGTTCAAAAAGATTTAATACAACACTCACTATTACCTCAAGGTTATGAACCCCTGCCTTTTATATAAAGGACAATCGTTGTGGGCAATTCCATGGAAAAAATTGGCAAGACACCCAAAATTTCAAATTCATTGGAATGAATATGAAGTTAGTGTCAAATGGATTTGTGATATTTTGTGTAATCAGTACAATTGAGGGGGATTAAATATTAATACATGTAAGTCTGTTTTTGTCATCCCAAAAAATGTTATAATATATTTTGCTGAATCACTGTTTACAATTCACGGAAGCTTTGCTCATATGTAAGTAGAAAAGCTTTGAAAAATATTTTAATCTAAATTGTTCATTTCTGCTCCACTTCTTTGATTGTAGTTTGGTTGATGAATCTTTTATCCTATTGCCCAAATTATACACTGTACCTTTTAAGTGATGCGATTTGAATGCAGCACAAATTACAAATTTGCAAAGCAAATTTTGATAGGCCTACAATACCGTGTATTTAATAGTGAAAAATCCTTTATTTTGTAAATTCCAACTACATTAAAGGCCTCTCTTTTCATTACCATCTGCATTCATTAGAGAAGTAGGCACACAAATACAGAGCGTGCAGGCGCACTGTTTTGAATGAGTGCTAGAAAGTTCCACGGAAGTAGAAATCAACCATTCAAGAAAGTACTAAGCATTGCCGAATACCGAATTGTTCAGTGTAACATGACGTGCTGTAATTTTCCTGAAATTAGAGCCTCGAGGTAAAGAAAGATCTTATTTTGTATAAATGCAAGGCTATGCCCATTTGTCATTCTGCTACCACGACTTAATTTCTTTAATGGGTCATATTTGAATTTCTGAGCAATATTTCCTTTTTCACAGAAAGATATTTGCATGGAAGCACAAACACAGTTGTTTTTAACCACTGCTTATCAAAATTGCATGAAAGCATTGAAAGGTTTAGCCTGCTGTAATCCACATCAAAAAGCTGTCATGTTCATTTTAGCATCACTCTGTGATCAATCTGATTAACAATCATAATTTATCAAGCAAAATATAAAAAAATTAGAAAAATTAGGTGGAACTTTGAGTTGGTTTAGAGGTAATCTATCAACGTTTCTTTTGCTATTTTACCATGTTTACAAGGAAAAAGTATTCACACAACACCATTTGAAGCTAATGTGTTTGAAATGTCATTCCGTTACAGTGGAATTGCCCTTGAGTACTTGTATACTCGTATGGAACTCAAATATTGTGTTGGTAAAACATGCAGCTCTGTCCAAATTATCCAAAAATGTACCTGCGATTCATGTTTTTTTTTCAAATTAGCAACTAAATCCCCTTGAATATTTTCCAGAGCCTTCTGTAAAGTCTCAAAGGATTACATTTTAGCCTTTTGCTACATAAAGCTTTCTCCATGACTTGCAAGAGCCTGCTTGTAACTGTGCAACATTGCATAAACTTGTTGGCTATAGACCAAGAGGACAAGCAACGGCCCTGTGGGTCTTCCCTTTGATGCAAGCAATGTCAGAACATGCTTCTCCTATATGTATATTGTGAAAATTCAGAAACACTGGGTATTAAACTATAAATCTTGATTTGAATTTAACAGAAAGGTCAAACCAAAACTTCTAAAATGTAAACAATGCAGGAATTCCTCTGAACTTTTTCCTGTGGAATTCATTTACTGTGGCATCTGTTTGAAACCTACCGTGATCGTTACAGCGTCAAGCCGATTGACGTGAATCTCTGATAAAAATTAATGGAGTCCTTGTTGCTCTGTGTGCCATTGGCGCGCTGACGTGTTTGGTGGTATTTGCCAGCAGCCGATCGACGGCCCCTGCCTGTCCTTCAAGCCCCTAATTTACATGATTGGAGTGCTGTGGCATTTCTCTCCATCACTTGGGACTTTAGCAGTCCCACTGCCAAATTCCTCATGCATTGCAAATATATCTCAGGTTGACTTTTCCAAGTAGTGATTCTAAACTTTCCCAGTTTTTTACTGGTTGAGCTGAGCTCAAAGAAGCAGCAGAGATAATTGTTTTCAAAGTTTCAGAACGATGACTGATTAATCGTAGTATTGTTCTGTACATATTAACATGTACACGTTTGTGAAGTTGTAATCAATTGATTGGAAGTCAAGTGCTTGTCAGTTGCAAGTCGGTTCCCTACTCAGTCACAGTTATTCTATTAACAAGAGATGATTACTGGCAACTGAAGTTATTTGTCACGGTTCAATTTAATTAGCTTTAAATTGAACTGGAGACCATGATTTGTTGGGTATTTTTTAATGAAGTGAAATGTAACTGATTTCTGATTGGCATGTGATAACTTTCCAGTATAGTTAGATTCCAACTCTATTTTGCATGTGGAACAGTAAAATTATCTATCATATTCAACCAGCAAGAAATTGTTCTTTTTATTGTTATAGATTTCTTAGTGAGAAATTTGTCCAATTTTCACATTGTTACACAATGGAATTTGGCAGTTTGGGTGTTTACTTCACAGATTCGCTTCTTTGACAAGGAGAAGCAAGTCACAGAGTGCAAAGTTGATTTTCATCTTCTGGTGTGGACCTTACATCAGATGATGAACGCAAACAAAACGTAAGCCAATTGCCTTTTTGTGACTCCAAAGCAAGTGTGTCAAATGGCCGTTAACGTGGTTATGAAACTAAGGATCCCCTTACAAGAGTCCGAGGCACTGCGGCTTGCAAGCCCGAAGAAACCAGCAGGGATGATGAGAAGAGATTAGATGCGAAGAAATTTGAATTTTATAGGGGGAAGGAAGAAAAGCCCAGACAAATATACTGAGTAAAATTCATGGAATCAAGTTGGAACCCAATCCATCTGTTTACGTGAATGACATGCGATTCTGGGCCACAGGGATTGATACCACCGGGCCCATGGTGAAAGGCTCCTCTAATCGTCCTTCTGTCTTGATCTTTACCCTGGACTTTGAAGTCTCATGCCAACAACAGACAAAAAGACATACTGTAGGATATGGGTAGTTCCAGGAATGAGGGGTCCATTTTTTTTCGTGTCCCTGTCACATCTGACATATGATTTTGTAAGTTTAGAACACATTTTCTGATTTCCAACAGCGATGAGTTAATGCAAATCACCTGCCAAACAAGTAGTAATTCATGTATTACATGTATTAATTCCGGTAATACACTAATACATGTATTAATTCCAGTGACATTTCCATGTCAAATAACAAGGGTCAGATGTAAAAGGAACACGAACATGTCACACTTTTGGACCCCTAATTTCTGGAATTACCCATATACACTTTTGGACTTTAACAGCATGTTTTGGGATGTTGCCTCTCTTTATGGTTTGATATTGAAAAGGTCAGTGTTCTGATCCAGTCCATCACAAATCCTTTCACAAGTCCAGTCACAAATCCTTCCCAAAGAGTTTTCTCAAGTCCATCCTAAGACCAGTCACAAGTAACAGTGTGAGCAGTGACAAAGGAATGCTTTTGTCACAGGTCATTTGAATTTCTTATGATTCCATTTGTGACCGGATGGTTTGTGACTGGCTTTTGATGGACTCTACTAAATACTGCAAAAGAGACCTCAACCCAACCCCCCAGTTCTCCACTCACCGGCTGTCCGATTTACCCCTAGAGAAACACTGGAGGGCGCACAGCAAGCAGCAGTCAAGCCTGCCATGTTGGAAACAACCCCCACCAGCAATGCCACCAACTACAATGTGACCTTTGTCCCCCGACCCGAGATCAGTGCCAGGAAGAGGCATGAACGAGTGGTAAGGGTAAGCTTGATTCGACACAGACACGGAAATGCGACTTAATCCGACAAAATGAGTTGTAAGGTCATCAGAGCCACTTTGGAATTGAACATCTTCAATAGAGTCTTACACAGTGTAAATCAATAGGATTCCTCAATGTCCTTCACCCGTAAATGTTCTTCATGAGGATGCCAAATTGAGTGATACATCAAAGCAAAGGGCTCAGTTTTCTCCTGCTAATACAAAAGGAAACAGCATTACGATAAGAGGGGGCTTAAGACTCATTTTGTTGGATCCAGTCACAACTTTAATATGGCATGTGTTCTGCAGGTGAACATTTTATGTTGTTTTAACATGGCAACATACTGTATTCTTCTGGAATTAACCCTCACCCCCAGACCCTTTTTGCTACGGACCCTCCTCAATCCTCCAGAATCCTCCAATTCGGTGGGGTGAAAAAATTGGATTCTCCCTCAATCCTCTGAAATCCTCCAAAACTTCATGAAAAATGTTACTTGGAGGTGTGCCTACTGCCACAATCTTTCAAAATCCTCTGGCAATTCCTGTATAAATTTATGCATGACTGAGCAAGAACAACACAAGGTCTAACCCTCGACTTTCATGCAGGGCATCCTTCACAATAAGCCATGCACTTTGGCCAATCCTCCTCAATCCTCCAAAAACTCCCCAAAGGATTTCAGAGGAACCTCTGATAATCTAGTCATTAGAGATGTCGCAAGTCCACAAGCTTTTCAGAATTTCAGGGGTTTTTTTAACCAAAAAGAAAGCTGAAAATATTCAGGTGAGAAAAAATTTCCAATTCTTTTTCAACTCTTTGCATATTTTTGTTCATTTATGTCAGGCTCTGTGTCTCCTAGTGAAGAGACGTTAAACACTGTTGAACTTTTTCTTCAAGTGCGCATGCGTGTTGGTGTGACATACATGTACCTAGTGTGGACCTCCCAGCAAGAGACATCCACGTACTGTAGGGTTACAAGTATTCTTGGTTTCATCAGACGAATCGCTATCAGAGGATTGTCTTGGTTTTTCAGACGCCTACAGTAAAGCACTTAAAATAATCTCTTTAGTCAAAGGCAGCAGCCAAGAACTTGTAATGAATGCAGAGTAGAGAAAAAGTTGAACCATTTTCACAATTTTGCCGCATTGCACGAGCAGTAGCGTATCCAGTTGTTGGTGTCGGGGGCAAATTCAAAAGCAAATGCAGCTTTAGGCTTATTTGACATGATGTTGGGGGTGAAAAAATATCAAAAGCCTTACTCGGGGTCCCAAAATCCCAGCTTCTATATCATAGTGTTGTTTTATTAGGGTTTGGTGCTGTTGGATAAGTAAATATTAAAATAAAACTTTGATAACTACCAGTAATGAAATGAAAATAAAAGTGAAAAAATCTGTTGAGGGGCGGAATTTGCCCCTGCGTCTTCCCCCCACTGGAGATGCCACTGTGCACAAGTAAAATTATGATATATGATGTCTTTGCTTGCTTTAGCATCGCAAATTTGGCCAATTTGTCTCCCAAACTGGAAATTTACAGGATGAACTCTCAACAAATAGCTTAACATGGGTAGTTGTTTAAATATAATCTATTTGCCTGTCTCAAAAGCATGTTACAACCACTAAACATGGCATTTTATGTGAAAATTTTCAGACCTCGAGATTGGGACACCATTTTTGTTTTCCATTCTCGGTTGAGTGACGTCATGAATTACATGTATATGAATAATTCAGTGTGAGGCTAAAACGAAGCGGTTGATCCCGCGGAATTTGGGGAAATACAGTGAATTACATATAAAGCAGGGACAAAATTCGCTCCGAATTTTGTGAGCAACATAAGCGATGTAACCAAGATGCCTTAAGTGGCTGGTATGCCTCAAAAACAGGGTGCTGTAACAGTGAATCGCATTATGGACCACACACTACAGGGATATCGGATCGCAGCACCGTGAAAGGCGTTTTTGACACAAGACGAGGTTACAAGAGGCTGTGTGGACTGCACACATCCACACAATACTTGCCATACTCGTTTCAGGTATTCAGTCAACAGCCACCGTGCTACGGTGTTTGTTGAGTATTATGCCGTGGTTGTAGCAACCCTTGCCCCAGGGTGCAGCAGCAAATAAACACGGCTATTTCTGTCGTCAAATCAATTCTTCTTACATTTCCCAGGGGACCTGGACAACTCTTTGAGCGTCATGGCCCACCTGGCAAGACATGCTATATCAGTGCCTGATTCCTCAGTCATTTATGCTAATCTTTCTGTTCGTCCCATCTATAAAATATGAGTAGCATGCCACCTTTTCCTTGAAACCTTGATTCATTTCGTAAGTTTGTTGTGGCACACAGCACATTGAGGCAGGCCAGTCACTGTTTTGCAGATATTTATAAAAATTTGTAGTCAATAAACACCCCAAATCTGTGGGGACCAGATTAAGCATTCTGTAGGCCCTAGGCAAAAGTATCATTTCAAGCTCTACTTGCCTGAGCATCAGTGCTAATTTCATAATGCTGGTAAACACACCGGTACCCTGCAGTTTATATTAATGCACATTCGCATGAAGTGTCATGCGAGTTAGTTTGAAGTTTTCCCCTAATCAAACATTCAGAAAGAGACATGAAAGATTTTGGAAACTTTTCCTAAGTGTGCATGCATGTTGGTGTGCACAAGTCAGGTTGGCGTTGTTGGTTTTACCTCCTTCCACCTCTGCAGCAGGGGTTCAATTGCCAGCTCAGTCCACTTGTGGATTGGGTTTTCAGTCCCTACCTGATTCCGCGGGTTTCACCCAGAATATTCTTCTGGAGTTTTCCTCTCACCTCTAAACCAGTAACTACTTCTCATCGTCTCCTCTCTACGGGTTTCTTCAGGCTTGCGAGCCACAGTGCCAAGGGGTCTTTTGAGGAATCATTGGTGTCTTTACCATTAAGGAATAACTATGATAATGAGTGTACCGCACATGTACCTGGTTGTAAACCTTCGAACAAAAGAAGTCCATATAATGTCCATGTAGGATCACAAGACATTGTGTGGACTTGCACTTGTCCACACAGTGTTTCCCCCTCTGTGAAAAAAAGTTTCTGAGGCATATTAGGGCAAGGGTTGTTTGTGCAAAATGAAGAAGAACACTCCAGGGATTTGCCATTAAAAAACCAGCTGAAAGGAGTTATGATGGTCGGGGAAAAAGGAGCATGTCCCCCATTTTCTTAAACACAGGAGATCAAAGGAATGTCCTCATTACCGGAGGTTTGTGAGACAAGCATGGATGGATGTTTACTTGTGTGGGAGGCAAGTTTTTACATCTTCCTGAGTCCTTGCATTCTCTTAGGACCCGGAAGTTTACAGACACAGTGCCAACTGTGCTTCTTGGATAATTCCACCCTTCTAATCTGGTGAAATGGCTTGGGCATGCATGACTCTGAGGCCAGCACACTTGTAAGGGCACATCCAGAACCAAATTTGCGGAGAGGCCAGAGTTGTTTTTGTTTTTTAATGTTGTTTTAATTGGGGGGATTTTGAAGTATTCTTTTGTAACTTTTTATGGCCTCTCTGAGGGGTGAAGCTGTATTTTGGGACATTGTACACACCTTTGGAAGCAGGAGAAATGAAGCACACCAAAAATCCAATGCCTTTTATTGTACATAAGAAAGTCACTCCATTTTTGAGAGGGACCACGGCCCCTGTTACCCCTTTCATCTTCCTTTGTACACTTGTGCCCCCTCCCCCATCCCCCAAATTATAGACCCAACTCAACAAGATAAGACCAAGTTACTAGAGTTACTTTTAAATATACAAGCTTTTAACCAAATGTTGCAGCATCATTCAAAATCAATAGAGCTGTCACTGCTCTTATACCCACAAAATTGCTGTTTTTATTTGAATGTCAAAGCAAGTAATGCAATCAAATTGAAAATCCGTTTCTGCTCTTTGCAGAACTTAAAAAAATACACCAGATGTGTCTGGTTGATCTGGTCACATCTGGACATGGAAAAAGGAAGAGGTTTGTTTTTCCTGAGACCGTGAGCAGACCCGTTGAATGCCCCTTTCATAACGAATGTGCCTGTGAGTGACACCACTCCTCACATATTATTTGACCCTGCCAATCTGCAAATTGGTACAGAGGCTTTAACAAGAGAGCAGATTTAGTCTGAGTCACTTTTCATTTTTGTCAGTTGTGAAAGGTGGTTAGAGGAAAAGTTGCCATATAATTTGAGTGAAAAATAGTATGTCATTTTTCTCAGGATGCCAAACACAGTAATGCATTAAATCAAAGAGCTCAATTTATTTCCATTTGTCCTACAAAGCAGAACAAAATCATTAGAAAAAAAACTCATAAAAGAATGACCTGTAGACTCATTGTGAGGGATCAAGGCACACATGGATAAACAAGATACAGCCAAAGCTGCTGTTCACCAATTTCTTTGCAACAAATTTCCCTCTTGAGATTTTATGAAGTAACTCAAAAGAAATAGCATTTGAGTTTTTCTCCATTAGGAGATATGGACAACTATTGGAAGCCACTTCCAAGCTGATTGGTAGTGGCTAGGTGTGGTTGATAGTAATTATAAAAATAATTGACAATTTATAAAGCGCCGTTTCTATAAAAATGATCAACGGCGCAGTACAAGTTGACGTAAAAAATAATTGATTTAAGAAATGAAGGGATGAATGAATGATTGTCACCGCGCAAGTACCCAAACCACAGTATGGGGATACGTCTGTCCCACCAACAGGGAGAATAATTTGACCCAGACGTAACCCTGCTGGCATAGGTGATGTCTCGATCTTTCCCGGGGACAAACACCTCTAACCCTACCTCCGCTAAAAGAAAAGTAATTATATCAGACACGGTGACACTAAAATAACGAATCACAGCTGAACCCACATTAAAAGGACAAATAATAATAAGCCTACCAGATAAAACTAATAAAATCAAGAATCTTGCAGTGCAATATCACTGTGCAAATGCAATATTAAACAGGCACGTTTTTACTTTACATTGGAAAACGGCAAGGCTTTGCTCACACCGTATATGCCATGGTAAGGCATCCCATAATTTCGGAGCAGCCACGGCAAATGCCCTGTTACCAAGTGTGGGTAGCATTTTACCGTTAGGGTATACTTAACAAAGGACCGTTGCTTGCTGACCTGAGATAATACCTAGATCCCTTCTTAATGATGTCATGATTCATCAAGTATCTAGTAGCAAGACCATGGATGGCTTTGTATGTTAACAGGATGATTTTGAAGTTGATCCTGTACAAAGCAGGTAACCAGTGAAGGTGATACAGTATTGGTGTTATGTGCTGAAACTTGGGTGTACATGTATTCTAGAAGAAGTCTAGCTGCAGCATTCTAGACTCGCTGTAATCTCATTATCTGTGCTGCCGTCAAACCATACAAAAGACTATTACAATAGTCCAGACGGCTGGTCACAAATGCCTGAATTAACACTGAAAGCGAATCGGGAGAGAGGAATTTACTGATGCGCCTAAGATTGTGAAGGTGGACAAATGCTACACAACAAGCCTGAGTGAAAGGCTTGTTGGTTGCCATCGAGTTGAGCATTCCTTCCATCCTCCCCCACAGTTAAGTAATCAGGATGAGGCCTGTTTTCCTTGGCAACAGGCAAGCCAACTTTTCTGACAAGTTGAGAAGTTCATGCAAGAAGGATGTAATGTTTTTCAGATGAGCCTGTGCAAAGCCTTTGGAAATAGCCACTTCATCTGTGCCTTTTATTCCCATGCCAGAACTCCCCAACAGAAGTTAATAAATGCACTTAAATTGCCTTTGAGTTTTATTTCATGCTAAATTGCAGGCCTGTTTTGATCACAACAGAATGCAAACTACTGACCTTTTCCCAACAGAAGCGTCAATCAGCAGTCTAAGACCAAGTTTCCAACCCAGTTTACCTCTTCAAATATCATCTTGTAATTCAGATTGCTCCTTTTGTAATTCTAACAGCGCCATTGTAATTCTAATGAACTTGTCAATTTCCCCAGATTCAATCCAAGATTGAACCAGTGCTAGAGTGCATTACATCCAAGACCAAAGTGGAAGTTGTTGCTGTAAGTATTAAGCAAAAGCTGGGCTAGGGCAAACCGTGTGCTGCAGAACTGCGAAGCAGATCTTTTTGGGGAGCAAAATTTTTCTCTGTTGAGCCAGTATCAGCCCCAGGGAACTCTGAGAAGTTGGTTCCAAGCCAGAGTCTATTTGCATCAAATGGTGCTGTGGAATGACTGAAGGAATTGCTAGCAGAGCTGTACATTCTACACGTACATAAGGAGGCCCAGAAGGGACACACCGCATACGTGCAAATAGTGGAGAAACAAACAAATAACAACACATGTGTAAATGGAATAGATTACATAACATCCTTGCATATGACCAGTGTCATTGGCTAGTTGCGGCTGTTTGAGTATTTGTACATACAGTTGCTCCTTGAAAAAAAAATTTTTCTTCCCTTTTCCATATGTACATGTAATATACTATGGAGTAATTATGTGAGAAATGTTTGCTTCCCCCAGTGGGTGTCATTGTTCCCTCCTCCCCCTCCCATCGTTACTCTCCCTGAAAGTTTGAAATGAACCTGGGTTCATTTGTTTTTAGTCCCACCTGTAATCTTGCTAGAACCCCCTCACATTTCTCTCGTCAAAGTTTCACCCCTTGCCACTGGCTGTTAATTTTACAGTGGGTTACTTGTGCCCGGCTTGATCAGAAAATGCAGACAGCGCAACCCTTTTTTTGTCTTTTAAAGTTGGTTTCTGTTTCACTCAGAATGTGCTCGTGATATGTTTATTGTTCCAAGAAACAGTTCTGATATCTCACAGAGTTGCACTTGTCTCTGTTATTCATCTGAGACTGAGTCTCTGTCGTGTTGAATGCCTCTCTGTAGTTTTAATCTCCAGTTTGCACATGGCACAGTACTGGTGGCACCTGGGCCGTTTTCCAATACTCAACTTCGGCTCCGTCTCAGGCTTCAACTGTTTTTTTACTAGCTGACTTTGAAGCTGTAAGTGCAGTAATCAGTCTAATAGTGTTACAGAACATCAAATAAGATGCAAGGAAGCCAAAAATTACAGTAATCTAATGTAATTTAAACGCTTCAGGCCCACAATCGGGATTGGTTTTGGGAACGAAGCCTGAGACGGAAACGAAGTTGACCTTGATTTTTGTCTGATGAATCACATTGATTTCAAACTCTGCAGGTTTTCATGATAAACTAATTATTGCATGTTGATCTTTTAAGGTTTATATGCCAGTTTTTTAGCTTAGTTTTGGATACACTTAATTGACCTGAAATTCTCTCTCACCTCTCATGATAGGTGGATTTGCCTTTGGCTGTAGTGAAGAGCATGGTCGCTGTACTAGACGTGAGTAATTACATATTTCCTGAGAATTTTCAAAAAGATCACTCAATTTGTGACACCTAAGTTTGATAGTGTTTGGATTGATCACAGTGTGTACAATATTGCTCTTTGCATGCACTTCTAAACATGTACCTTGGCAAAAAGTAATGTACCCACACCGAAGTACTCCACCCACAACCA